CAGCAGGAGAGCTCCTATGAGCCAGGCTGCCTGACCTGCGGCGGAAACAGCTGGCTCACTAGGCGCTGTTATGGCTGAGGCAGGAGAGCTTATAACAAGCCAGACTGCCTGATCTCCATGTAGAGGCTGGCGCGCAGTGACAGGGTTCAGACAGCCCCACCTTCCTGCTGCTCCAAGAGGCAGGAAAATTGCTGCCTCAGGCGCAGCTTCAGTTGCAACAGAGCCACTTGCCTGCTCCAGTCTTAAGTGAGAGGAGGCAGCATTGCTTCTAAATGGCCTTGCGACAGTTGCCTTCCAGCTTAAGAAGCAGGAAGGCTTCTCCAGGCACATTCAGACATTTAATCGGTCTTACTCTGGTCATGATATAAGTTGCCGCAACATCCTGGGACATATACCACCCTGCGGTCACCTGATATAAGCACGCCTGTCTCACAGGGCGGTACGCAGAGTTTTCACATAGGATCAATATCCTGTCACCGGTCTGGTCACCTTAGTTGGCAGCCCTCAAAGGTTCAGGGCAACGCCATGGTACCAATTTCCTCTACAGAGGTTTGACTGCACCTACCGCTCTGATGGGAAAGTACACCATAGGAATGCAGTGGCTGAGGCTCCTCAGATCCCTGACTGCTCCCACTGTCACTTCTTAAATCGGGACCTGACGTCTCAGGCTGCTATGCCCTTCGGTTTAAGAAGGGCATTCCTCTGGGGGGCGATCCCGACCCTGGGGGTGCTGGGTCGGGACTTCCAATTCGCCTCAAGGGCTAATGCTTAACCAGCCCCGGGGAACTGTCTTGGGACGACACAGTGATATGCAGGACCTCCAGTGTCCCTGGGGGATTCTCCTCTCAAGTGAGACGTGGTGGCTCAGTGGCTAAGACGCTGAGCTTGTTGATTGGGGGTCGGCAATTCGAGTCCCTAGTGCCAGGATGAGCTCCTGTTGCTTGTCCCGTTTTCTGCCGGCCTGGCAGCTTGAGGGCACGTGGAAGGATGCTGGTGGAAAGAAGGGACCACCTTTGGTGGAGAGATGACAGCGTTCTGTGCACCTTTGGCATTGGTCGCACTGACCACATGGCCGTGGAGATGTCTTCAGACAGAGCTGGTTCGAGGGCTTGGAAATGGTGACTAGCACTGCCATCTCTAGTTTGGGAGCGCTAGCACATATGTGCAAGGAGAACCTTTACACCTGTTCAAGTTCAAAAGCAGTGACCCTCTCCAATGTAGAACCTGCCTAACCTGGACTTAGGAGGTAGCCACAAGTCCCACTGCATGGCAACATGTACCAGGGTTGGTTACCACGGGAGGCCACATTAGGGGGACTTCCTTGGCCAGAGCTGGACATTTTTCTGGATTGTACATGTCCTCTGTTTACCTCCGGTAATGTACTGGGCCGGATTGTTCCTTCCACGAGTTCACAGGCACTGCTCAGGTATTTCAGGTGCAGGCCTTATCACTCTGCACGGATAGTAACACTCTTGATTCCCCGCAGGGTCCTTCCTGAGGTGTTGTTGGCCTCTCTCAGCAGGCATAACAAGTTCTTCCCGGTTGGAGGGTATCTAACTTGGGTTCGTGACCATCTTGGAACACGTTTCAACCCGTGTCCTTTTCCCTGTATAGGGTTAGTCTCGGATGTTAGCCTTGGGGTTCAGGAACATCGAGTTCCTTGGAAAGGATCTCAGTGGATGCCCATGTATTCATTTGGTGTTGGTCACTCGGGTACACTCATCGGTTGATGTTCATTCACGCCTTGAGTTGTAAGGTCAGCTTCCGGGCGGTGCGAAACAGCCGTTCGGATTACTCCTCAGTGCGAGGCCGTTTTCTTCCCTGGATTCCAGGCAGCCGTCAGTGAGGTCACTCGTCATTCGGATAAGGTCATCAATCGTCTCCTTCGTCTAGTTGGCAGTTTTCCCTTCAGATTGTTGACAGCTCGCCGTCCTCCCTCCTCGGCCAATCCGGTCACGGCAGGTAGCCAGGCCTCTGGTTGGAACGGGATCACCATAGGCCCCGGTGCATGCCTGACTCGGTGGCTCAGTAGTTTAGACACTGAGCTGATTAATAGGACAGGTCGGTGGTTTGATGGCTTCACATCCCTGGTACAGGTTTCCTGCGCTGGCAGGGGATTGGTCAGGATGAAGTCCAAGGTCCTTTCCCCCATGGCAACGGCCAATCTATTGTCAGTCTGTTGACCTTTCGGATGTGCGCTTCGGCCTCCTCACTGGACAGGGGAACTTGGGTGCTTTCTGAGGCCAGTTGTTTCCGTTCCGTTGTATTTAATTTATTAGAGAATAGCATTGTGGAATGTAACGATGTATCTAGTGGGCTGGCTTACCACGAGATGGAAGATTGAAGAGAAAGAAATGTTACCATTTAATGAATATTGGTATAAGTCTTATATTCTAGTTAGCATATATCACATAACTACACGCTATATGCATCCTATGGTATTCAATGCTTGAGGAGGGAGACTATAATGACTCGGCAGCGATCTTCGTCTTCTGTTTCTGTTTCATGTCTAGTCTTGCCTTGCCTTGCAATCTCGGACGGTCAGTAACCGTTCCGGTGCCATTGGGAGTAAATAGACTAACTTGTTTGTCGCCATTGCAGTTAAGGCACGAGTTCGGCAGTACTAACTTTAGTCTTCTGAGTCCTTACTGGGTACAGGCCTCATGGATCACCTGACAAAGATGCTGTTGGTTCCATTTGTCCTTCTTTGGTCCACGGGACTTCCGCATTCAGGACTTCTGTGGCTATGTCCCTTATTACCTTGTCACCACAGTTCCTTTGGGCTCCTTTCAGGGACTGCGCCTTGGGTTCCATGCGTTGCCGTCTACACTGCTAGGGGAATGGCCTTCCATTCTGACCTTCCTGACATGCGGGCTCCAGGTTCATTAGGACCCTCGGGCCGTACACTGGGGGGGATCCTTCTCTGGGTTGGTTCGGGTCTCCCTCGGATTATCCAGGAGGGGTTTTTGTTGCCCACCCTTCCTGGTGGAGCCTGGCTTTGGCTGTGCCGCAGGTGACCTCCATCATGTCGGATTAGCCTGTTCATTCCGGTGGCCTACAGGTGGTCTTTATTGTACAACCTGATAGTGGCTACAACTACCACTCAGCCCAATGGGACTGTTCTGGGGGTTCGAGGGCTGGTCACTTTCAAATTGACGGGCAGCCGCTTCCCACCATTGTCATTTTGGGGGGCGTATCTATGTTCTTCTGCCCATCATGAAGGGGGTACCAATTCACCCCCTCTCCCGACTGGGGTGTATTCCTCGGCCTGGAGCCCTGGGGGTGTTTTGGCCATGTCATGGCCATTGTTCCTTCCACCCCGTCTCCGGACTGGCTGGTCTTGTCTGGCTGGGACTGTTGCCACAATTGTTTGATGGGTCCTTCCCTGTGGAGGATGGTGTTCTTTTTGTTTCAGGTTTCCTCCAAGAGCACCTTGAAGGACCATTGGTCAGGGATCGTTGGTTCTCGAGGGGGGGACCATTCGCTCGTTGGCGACGTTCCTGTTCCCGGTGCTCCTGGCCCTCCGGATTTCTCCTGGGGTGCAACCTTGCCGGTGCCACTACTGTGAAGGTTGTTTCTCTGCCACTGCTGTCTGTCACAGAGGTTGGTACAGCGGTTCAGTCACTCTCATTCCGACATTATTACGGGGAGTGGGCTGCATTTCACGTGCACCAACTTCGAGGCGGGTGGTAGAGTTCGGGCCAGACTGCTTCCCTCCCATATGACTGACCGGCTTTGGTAAGTCCCATTCCTGGATGATCTTCCCTGATATGCTGGAGAATGGGCGTTGGTCCTACCTGATACACCCTTTCTCGACGTGAGGGGAAGATCATCCAGCCCCACCCTGTTGACCAGTGGGGGGCTCCTATTTTACAGGTGGTGGGTCTCAACTTGCTACGCCTTCGTTGAACTGGGGAGCACCCAGGCAGGAGTAGGCGTGGCCAATAAAGTTTGACTCTGTCTCCAAGCAGAGAAGCAGAGCACTACCATTCCTGGATGATCTTCCCCTCATGCCGAGAAAGGGCGTATCTGGTAGGACTAACATCCATTTTGGCAAAAATTGTAACTGAGTAAAATGTACTTGAAAATGTTAAATTGTATAAGTTATGATATGGCCAATACTCTGTTCATAAAATATGTGGAGGGAAATGGGGGGGGGGGAAATCAATAAAACTTGATTAAAAAAAAAATTATCAAGAAAGTTTACCAAATTGATCTTATTCCAGATTAAGGAATAATTAATTCCTTAATCTGAAATAAGATTTGATTCATAACTTTTCAATAAATTACAGAAATGCTACAATAAAATATAATTTTATTTTAGTAAAACCTTTTACAAAGTACTTTATGGCATTCTGATGAGCAAGCTAGTGTATGGATGTCATTACAGTTAAACATATATGTAGTTGAAAATTATACTTGAAGAACACTATCAATGGTTCTTCCTCAGAATGGAATAAATACCAGTTGGAGTAAATTACTACATATCTTGGGCCCTGTACAATTCAAGCTTTTTATTAATGGCTTGGAAGAAGAGATGGAGAGAATGCTTATTAAATTGCAGGTGATTGAAAATAAAATAGGATATTTTAGAAGACAAAAATAAAATTCAAAATTACCATGATGGGTGAGATAAATATGCTTAAGAGAATTAAATATGAAAAGAGACAAATATAAAGTTCTTTTAAAAAAAAATCAAATGCACAAGAATACAGTTTGGGACATATAATAATGCTTGTGAAAAGTATTAGTTGATTACAAACTGAATCTGAGTTGCTGTTAGTTGGTGGGGTTTGTTTTTTTTAAACATAAAGGTAGGAGGCATCCTATATAACATATCAATGGTTTTCATTTCATGTTTAACAAGTAAAAATATTTAAAAAACATACTGATAATATAGATGCATCCACAACTGAATTAAAAATTCGAATAGAATAATGTGTGATCAGTTTTTACAAGGTATAATAATAACTGAAAGTGGTTTTTTTTTTTCTCCTCAGGTAACTTGTCTGTATTTTCTCTTACCCTTGTGTTAGGGGTAACCGGTGTTGGCATTCTAGTTTTAGTTTTCGTCATCATGCTTATTGTGTGTGTTATGATCAGAAAGAAGAATTCCAAAAAGCATTATTCTGGGTAAGGTACTATACTTGTTTCTTTAGATATGCAAGGGTGGAGGGGAGGGAATATGAACAGTTTGAAACATGAATTTGTGCATTTATATTTTGGATTAAATTACTGGGACAGCTAGAAACTTCATCCTTCTGGGCTTATAAATTATCAACTTCATCGTGTACGTATATTCCGTATGTTGTTCCTCTTTATGAGCATAGGTCCATTAGGTCTAGTATCCTTCTTGGAAAGTAGCCTAAAACTGCCCCTTTGCAGCTCTCAGAATAAAGGAGGCTGTGTCACTATCAGGTTACATTCTGAATGGCACAACTTTTTTTCTAAGATTGGGGGTATGGCTGCCAGTTCCTTTTACAACAGTCCGCTTTCCATAGCTTTACAATCTTGGCTTTGGGAAAACTGCCCTTCTGCTATTTTCACTGGCTTTATCATATGCATGACTTCTTTTTGTTCCTGTTGCGCTCATGATGCCTCCTGTAATTTGGCTTTAAGGAACTTCTATTAGACAATATCTTTAAGGTGGATTATTTGCCATGAACAATTGGTTGATGGGCTCCTTTGAACTGGTGGTGACATTTATTTTGCTTTATCGCTTAATTCCAACAGAAATGCAACCCTGTGCACAGAAAATTGCACATAACAATTCTTTCAGGATCAATCATTTCATGGCCTGACTTCTTGCTTTTATAGATCCAGTAAATATTATTCATACAGTGCTAAAAAGTCAATTTGTACTGGGTGTACGTAATTGGCATATTTTTTGTAACCTTTTCAGCTGCAGAATTTAGAAAGTGCTGCAGTAGATGTCAGTGGTAAGGTTGAATGAGTGCAGTGAATTGGCTGTATAAGCTCTGGCTCAGTGTGGAAAGCTTAATTTCCCTTATGCATGTACTGTTTGCATAACACTTGAATACTGATCTGCACCCAGGATGCCACATCTTAATATGAATAATAATTTTTTCATCAAGTGTATTATTTCTTAAGGTTTGGGACTATCTTTGTATAAAATTATTGTTCTTTTGTGGTTGCCTCCAAGCAACAAACATTAACATTGATCTCATTGACTATACTGTGTTTCTGATGGTTACTAAGTGGTGGGATGTTTATTCTAGTAATTACAAATAAGAATGTGTGTGTGTGCACACACATTTGTGTATATATAATATATGATATATAATTTCTAAATAAACTAACACTAGAGCTGTAACTGATTGAGACAGGTGGTGGTGGTAACTCTTGCATGGCAGTATCACAATGTCTATTTTTTCTTTGATTTTTTCCCCCTATTACTGCTTTGGTATGCTGGGATTGGATCCTGCTTTTTATCTTCCTTTCCTTACAGAGATCCTGATATAGATGCAAGACTGGGAATGTAACAGGGCTGGGTCATCTCTTCCAGTCCCACTATATATCATGGTAACTAATCATGCCAGTAGTTCTTTGGTACTTCATGTCCATATGTATGTACATTTCTGCCTCCCTTGCTTACTATCCTGCTAACATACTTCCAACACTTATGCTGAATTTCTGTTTTGTGGACTGTTGATGAAGGGGCAGCATATCTCATCTATTGCTTGCATTTTGTTGTCTCATTTCTTCAGTTTTGGCAACAAGGCTATGTACCTTCAGAAGCAGCTAATTCAGATGCATGCATGAATTGAATATTTGGACTTTTTACACTATGAGAAAAAAAAAAAAGATTGCTGTCAGTAAAAAAAAAATGCACCTGAAAATGTTTTATGCACAAACTGTGAATTCAGTATTATGAACTGGTTCAGTGCAGAGTTGCATATTCTCTTAGAATAGATTCCAGATGCTTATTTTTCCTTTGATTGTTATGTGCTGGGGTTTAGTCTCAATATGAATGAAGCCCATTTACTAGCTCTTAAGTATGTTTTCTCAGTATGGGTGTTTCTGTGTATTGCTTCATATCTCATGTCTGCCTTTTGAATGTTCAGTATTTATGTTCGATAACAAAATTGATTAGTGGAGGGCTGCTTTCTGCTTAATAGCATTGTCATCTTTTCATTATCACACTTGCATATATATGCTTTTAAGTGATACTTAACATTTTTGAACCTTTAAAAATTTTCAATATTTAGCCTCAATATGACCTAAAACATGATTTGTTTTCCACACAAATCCTAAAACTAAATAAAGAGAACTCAATTAAACAAATGAATCAAAAACATACTTGTTCATTTATTCATTGAGGAAAATGACCCAAAGCTACATATTTATGTGTGGCAAAAGTTGCTGAACTTCTAGGATTATCTGTTCATTTGAAGGGAAAATTAGAGTAAAATATTTCAATGAATGGGATGATAATCAGATGTACATGTATAGGGCCCTGTCTTTATTTAAAGAATAGAATTCTGAATAATCACAATCAAAATCTGATCTTCACAACACAGGCATGTAGAATTGTCCCTTTGCTTGAACAAGGAGGTTTCTGAGGACCTCCAAGAAAACAGTTGTTGATGCTCACCAATCTGGAAAAGGTTACAAATCTTTTTTCAAAGAGTTTCAATTCCATCAGTCCACTGTCAGGCAGATTGTGTGCAAACGGAAATAATTGAACACCATTGTTACCCTCCCCAGGAATAGTCAACAAATCAAGATTACACAAAGAACAAGGTGTGTAATGCTCTGAGAGGGCTCAAAGAAATCCAGGGTAATATATAAGGAACTTAAGACCTTTCTTAAATTAGCAAATGTCAGTGTTCGTGAGACCACTATCAGCAGATTATTGAACAATGGCAAGATTGCAAGAAGAAATGCAGTCATTGGATGCAAGATGGACAGTAAATAAAATTTATAAATAAATAAAGTCAGTACTTCCCCAAAAGAACATTGCTGCTTATCTACAGTTTGCAAAATAAGGTGGACAGCTACTACAAGAATGTTCTGTGGATGGATGAGGAATAGAATGTTTTGGCTTGAATGAAGTCAAATGCTGCAATCTAGCAAAACAACCTTATCCCATCTGAGAAACATGGTAGCAGCGGCATCATGGTTTGAGCCTGTTTTTCTGCCTCTAAACCAGGACAGCTTGCTATCATTGATGGAACTATGAATTTTGAATTGTACCAGCAAATTCTATAGGAAAAGGTCAGAGTATCTGTGAACTGTAGTTCCAGAGAAAGTGGATCAGGCAGCAAGACAACAACCCAAATGAACAGTGATACCACCAAAGAATATTTAAACAGGACAATGTTTAAAATGACCAGGTCAAAGTTTTGACCTTAATTCTATAGAAATGTTGAGGAAGAACCTAAAGCGGACAGCTGATGCAAGGAATGAGAAGTTACATAATTGGAAATGAAACAGTGGAAAAGTTGCTTATTTAAGAATTTCTATAGATGGAGGAATGGACTAAAATTCCTTCAAGCTGATGTGCAAGACTGCTTAAAAGTTACAGGAAACTTTTAGGTGCAATTATTGCCTTCTAAGGGGGACACACTGGTTATTGAAAAATTCATATACCTTTTCCATAAAATAGGTAGTTTTGAATTATTTTCCTCAATGAAAAAAGAACAAATAAGACGTTTTTGATCTATTTGCTTAATTGGGTTCTCTTTAACTAATTTTAGGACACGTATGGGGAAAAATAATGTTTTAGGTCAGACTGATGCAGAAATATTGAAAATTCAAAAGGGTTCACAAATTTTTAAGCATCACTATGTTGGCTATGTAGGAAGAAAACCAATCTAGATTTGATTTCTCCAATATGATAACTACAGATACTTTGAGTATAGTTCCCATCAGCAGCTATTGACCAAAATATTTGGAGATCTTATGAAAAGCTGATACTTTAGAAAACAGTTAATGGAATTTATATTCCTGTTTTTAGAACCAAGCTAGATATTTTTCCTAGCAGCAAATTTTATACAGAAAAGTCGCTTCCAGATAAAGTAGTACTGTTAACCCTATATTATCTGGTAGAGTTGGCAGGTCTGGATTCCATTTTTTAAACTTGGTCAATTCAGGAGATGCTGGAAATTGTCTATTCAGAGGTAGCATCTTTTCTCCAGAGATGAAATCCCTTCTTTTCCTACCCTGATATTATTTAGATGAGCTCTTACAATCTAGCTCTTTTCCTAGGACCAGGGCTAGAGTTAGTGGTAGGACCCTTGTTAGTTGTTTTAATTTGTGAAATGATGGTGGTTTTCTCCAGTAGGTCCAGTGGTGGGTTGCTCCCGGTTCGCACCGGTTCACAAGAACCGGTAGTAAAAATTTCTAGTAGTTTGGAGAACCGGTAATAACATTGGCTGGCCATGCCCCCGAACCAGTCCCCAGCCCGGTCGCCGTTCGCTTACCCCACCCACCTCATCAGAGGCTTTTTTTTTTCTTTTTATTTTTAAAAGCATTTTTTCTACAACCTCTTCAGCTGAAAAAATGTTTTTAAAAGTAAAAAAAAAGCCTCTGATGATCGCGCGGCTCAGCTGGAACCGTCAGAGGCTTTTAAAAGCATTTTTTCTACAACCTCTTCAGCCGAAGAGGTTGTAGGAAAAAAAATGCCTTTAAAAGCCTCTGGCGATCCCAGCTGAGCCGTCTGATCGTCAGAGGCTTCTAAAACCATTTTTTTCTGCAACCTCTTAAGGTTGTAGAAAAAATGCTTTTAAAAGTAAAAAAAAAAAAAAGTTGGCCACGCCCACCCAGTCACGCCCACACCCCACCAAGCCATGCCCACAAAATAAGCCATGCCCACAGAACCGGTAGTAAAAAAATTTAGAACCCACCCCTGAGTAGATCCCTTTGTATTTTTAATTGTGTGGATTGTTTGGTTTAAATGTGATATATTTTATACCACACAGAGTCATAATGGAGTTGGATGGCTTTTAAATCTAATAAACTCTAAATTAAATTACATTACATGAAGATGCAGGGAGGGAAGTTAATTCTTTATGTGGTTATGAGTTTCTTTACCTAACCTGGAGCAGAAGGACTTTCTTCTTTGTATGTGAAGATAGAAAATATAGTCATGACTGACCTGAACAAGTATAAAGCAAGGATGTATGTGTTGTCTGTCATTCACTAAGGTCACTCTATTTGGCCTATTGCCACCTCATCTTGCCATCACTTGCCTTTGTTTTTGTTTTGTTTCGTCTTGGATTTGCTTCTTGAATGTTATTCTGCAAAATCTGCTTGCCACCTCATCAGCTGCAGTACCTCTGAGAGCTTGATGTCTCCAGTTAAGCAGGCTCCACGGAAGTCCCCCTCCGATACAGAGGTTTTGGTAAACAGCGGGCCCATCCGATCTCATCAGGTAAATGGTATCATACTCTGACTCGGAGATTACCTAGTGCCTGGAAAGGTGGTGTTTTTGTTAAGGGGAGGAAGGGACAATTCATCACTGAAACACATACATAGAAAAATATCTGGAAAAATTCCTGCTGTAATGGAACTTACGGTGAGAAATGTAGCTATCTTTTGGCTATTATTTTTGTGATATACTTGCTGTCTTTCACCATGCTAAACTACTGCAGGGCTATTAATCTTAATAAATGATGAGTTTTTATAGTGAGATAAATTACTAAAGATGGTCTACCTTCATGTAGGCCTTCAGTCCTAGAGATTTGATTTATAAAAATTTAGAGGATTGAGTAAATATATATATATATAGTATTGTAGGCATTATTATTCTTAATTTTTGCCATTAGTATTGGGCCAACACTATACACTGCTTAAGAGTGTAACATGGAAAGAGACCTAGGGACTTTGGAATCAAGTATAGCAGAAGGTAGTAAGGCTGATTTAAAATGGGGTAATAAATAACAGGTCTCTTTTTTTTCTATAGTGAATCATTTTTTTGGATGGAAAGACATGATAGAAATTGTACTGATCAGAAAAGATTTTACTTTTTCAAATCTGTTCAAAGTTTAGTAGAAAGCCATAGACTTTATGATATGATTTGAGATCCTTAAGTAAGGAATAAAATATCATCAAACATTTATGAAGGTTTTTTGGAAAAATTAGAAACTTATATACATGGAATTATTATTTATGGATAGTTTGATGCTATAATGTAAATTTAGCTATGTTCTAACTTACAGAGTTCCACATGATACTTTCAGTGGTTGCAGATTACTATTAGTAGTCTTGACTGTAAGTCCAGAAATTAGCTGGCAAGATTTTGTTTATTAATTGCTAGAGTATAGTAGGGGAAGGAAACTAATGGTAATGTTTGTATGATGAGTTCCAAAGGAATAGTGTCAACCATTTACCAACATAGAGTTTCTTGTCAGTTATGAATACCAGATGAGTCAGTACTTAAATATAGACCTGGATTATGAACTCCTTAAAAGGAATAATGGTATTGATCACATGTTGGCTTGCTTTGCTGCCTGGCAAATAGGTAATAACTGATGGATGAAATTGACTTGGTTTTGGAGGCTATTCGTCGAATTTTATAATGTAGTTGTAATAGTAAAGGAGGCACAGTGGCCTAGCAGTTAAGACACTGGGCTTGTCTTCCAGAAGGTCGGCAGTTTGAAACCCAAGCACTGTGTGACAAAGTGAACTCCCATTATTTGCCCCAGCTTCTGCCAACTTAGCAGTTTGAAAGCATTTGAGTACCACTTTGATGGAAAGGTAACAGCATTCTGTATGTCTTTGGCATATACTCATGCTGGCCACATGACCACAGAAATATCTTTGGACAACACTGACTCTTGGCTAAGAAATGGAGATGAGCACCGGCCCCTACAGTCAGACACTACTGGATAGGGCAAATCTTTATCTTTTACTGACAGTACCACAGTAGTGAATTGGTAGAAGTAGAAGTAGGTTATATTTATGTAGTAGTGTACCACTAATACACTAAATAAGTAATTAATAGTTACACTACTACTACAATGCACTATATTGTACATTTGTCAATTTAGAGAAAGATTATGTAATCAAAAGTGATTACATTTGTATTATGGAATTCAGTTAAAAATACAGAGGTTTGACCCCTATTAGATATTGTTTCAACATATAGTTCAGAGTTCAAACTGTGTGTTGCTTTCTATCTATTTCCCAGTGGTGGCTTGCATTTGAACACATCTCATGTCTGAGAACATTGTATGGATACAAAAAATGCATTCAGCCAGGCATTTTACAGTAGAGTTGTCATATCTACTCAGACAGACACTGTATGGCAACCTACAGTTAATGATTTATTAAATTGTTGCCAACTTGATGTTCACTGGATTTCTGCAGCCCATATGGAATCCCTATTCTACAGACAATTTTTATGTTCCTTTAATAGAGACATAAAAGAAGCTGTAATGAATTAAATAAAAAGAAATAAAAATAACTTTTTTTCTTAATATCAGCACAGACTCTAGTGCCCACTTAGTGTATCAGGGTACTGTTGATTTGTTTCAGAAATTTAGAATCAGAAGTGCTTTCCAATATACTTTTAAAAGTATATTGGAATATGTAGCATTTATCCCTTGGTTTCTCTTTTTTCTATACTTAAAATGCTACCAGAAGTTCTGGCAATGACTTAAAACACATCAAATTTAGAATTGAGATACAGCTATTTTATAATACTATATCTATATATTTATTTTCACACAATCATTTTTGTGGGCACCAGAATATAACTTTCTATAGGAATTTGTATTGCTGCTGTTAGAATAAGGAGGATTTAAAATAAATAAATATATACTGAGGAAGATTGGGGGTGGGGAATAAAAAAAACTTCACCAGCTTAATACTGTACCTTCAAAGTAACAGCTTGTGCATTACCTATCCACAATATCCTGGTATCCTATTTATTTCCTAAATATTTAGTCTTAAAGATTAACATTGCTTGTTCTGAAAGCAGAAACTTGTTGCCCAGGTTGAATTTCAGATGGCATGTCTGAAAACAACCTTTGTAGATTCATTCCATCTTCAGCTAGACTCATCAGGTTTGCCCTCTTGTCTTTATCAATAAATTTGTCTGAACCATAATTTCTCACAATTGTGCATGTTCAACTGGTATATAGTACTCATTCTCCTTTTCCTTTGTTCATCTGTAGAATGCTTGATCATTTTGAATGTGATAATTAACCATGTTCTCTGCTTTCTAGGTCTAATACTGACCTGATTGGTTATCTGGGTTCCTATATGTATAATGGATAAATTAGAAGACAATATCTCAGTTACATAGCACTCCAGACAGCGCTTTTGAATGCTAAAATCTTTTTCCCATAATTTCTGCTGAGAAGCAAATATATCTGATCAATATAGCTTTCTCTCTGAGTGTGGGGGCCAGCAGTCAGGATTGGTTTAACTCCGTCATCTGTCCTAGGACTGAGTCTGCAGGCTGTTAAGCTCCTCCTCTTCTTCTTGCTTCCCAGCTTTCAGACTCAGACGATCTGGATGGGCATATTTTGCTGAGCTGCCCATTCTTGACTGCTTGAAAGTCTATTTTGGCTCCCAAAACACCGGTTGAGTCAATTCCAGCGTGAGGGGTTTTTTCCCTTCACGCTTTAAGCCGCTTGTCAACTAATCGGCTCTGAGGGCTCCCTGATATCTGGTAGAGCCCTCAGTTTACCAGCATGAAAGGCTCATGCCTGATCCCGCTGAAGACCGCGTTGGCAGTTCTGCAGGCACCTCCCAGCTCGGCTGGTCGAGGTCCTGCTCTTCCAGCATGAACGGCCTCAGTCGGAGTCCACTGATGGCCGCTTCTTATCGGTGGTGGTTTCTGCCGGCCAGCAGATTGCCAGAGTGGCGTTTCCTGGGCTTTGCCCATATGCCTGGCTGGTGCAGCAGGGGTTTGGAGGCTTCCAACCCTCCCGCTATTTCCAGTCCGTTCCGGCGCTTCGCCAAAGAGACTGATTGCTGAGGCAGCGGCGGGGGCCAGGGCAGAGTGGCGATCCCAGTAAGGCCATTCCAATTCATTTCCCGGGCTGAAAAGGCAGCAGGAGCTCTAAGCCGCGGACTTGCCATCTTCGCCTACTGCAGGTGGTTTAGGGCCGTCCACCATTTTGTTTTCACCTCGTGCTTATTAGAGGCCTACAGTGACACTTGCAGCCTCAAGATGGCTGCCACCTCTTCAACCTGCCCTTCTAAATGAGGCCTGTCTGACTTCTCCTTAGGGGAATCCTCCCAGCCATCTCTACCGGGTCCCTCTCTTCTTAAGGAGATGACCCCTGCTCCAGCTGCTCCGGCATCTGGCCCTTCTTCATCAGCGGCCCAGGGGACCCTGGTTATGCCTGCACCCCAAGACCCACCTCTTGCCTGGTCCCCGAATGGGGACCCCTCCACTTCTGCCTCCAGGCATGCTGAAGTCAGCGCACAGCTATTTGCTCCCCTCAGGACCCCTCTGGACAGCCCACCAAGGGCAACCACAGCATTCTGTTGGGGCCCCAGGAGCCTCAAGCAGGGGTTAGGCCCCAGGAGTCACAAGCGGGGTCTGTCCTTCTACCTACAGAGGCGGGCCATTTTCAGGCAGGGGTTCAGTCTCTGCCTTTACCAGATCTAGCTGCCCTTATTCAGGAAGCTGTTCAAAGGGGCATCGCTTCTGAGATGCAGTGTAGAACCATGGGTGTCAGATCTTTCCAGGTCTCAGGAGGCACACCAACAGTCACAGTTCTCTGAGGATCTAGAACAGGCCCAGGTCCAGGACTTACCAGGGCCTCACCCAGTCAGGGTTCGGTTGCAGGAGAAGAAGTGGGGGAGCAGGGATTGTCGGATGATGAGGATCTGTCCCCAGACCAGCCATTGGGCCTGTTTAAACCCCAGGTCTTAAGATCCCTCCTTCACAAGGCCAAGATCACCACAGGGCTGGGTCTACCACAGCCTAAATCTGACACTGCTGGGGAAAGGGCCCGAACCTCAGTCCCCCTATTCGAGGAGCCTACCTTTGAGGCTGAGGAGATCCCCGGTCCAAAGTTGTTCAAGGACGTTGTCCTGAGACAGTGGTCAGCTCCAGTTTCGGGACCTAACCCCAATGCTCTGGATAGACACCTTTATAATATGGCATCTGACATTTTTTCCATCCTGCAGGTTCCATCAGTGGACCCCCCTGGTGGTCGCTCTCACTACTCCTTCTGTCCTGACTGGACTTCCAGAAGAAGGCTTCTGGCCAGAGGACAAGAGGTTGGAGCACTCTCTGACAAAGGCGCACCAAGGGGCTGCTTGGGCCATTAAGGCATCATGAGTTGCATCCTTCTTTAATAAGGCTTCTCTCCTACGGCTTAAACAATTACAGGAGCGCTTACCTATTTCTGACTCCCAAGCCCATCAGGACTTGAACAAGATTGTGGCCGCCCTCGAGTACTCAGCGGA